TCCATCAGATTATCCATTCTGATCCAAATACATCAGAGCAGTGCGTTGAGTGGTGTGTGTCCAAAAGCAAAATAAAGAAGCCGCCTACACAAACTCCTTAATATGTCATGCTCTCTCTGTTACTGAGGTCACTGCATACGGATGGGCAGTCGCGGGTCGATTTTACTTCAGGGCAATGCGAACAATGAAATACAGTCAGGAGTTATAATAGCAAAACCGTAGGAATGCATCAACAACGGAATGGTATTTCACAATTCTTAATATAGTGCCATTAAGTAATCGTGACTGTGACTAGATTCCAAAGTTGTAGCTCAACACGGAGGCTATTGACAGACTAAGGAGCTGCGTAGTTACATCGGGGCTAAATATGGTAACCTGCATGCGGCATTTGGATGAACTTGAAACAACAAAGTAGTAGGTGTGGGGAAATAAACTTAGGCACACCATCTACTGTGAATGCCTTTTCTTAATGATTGTAGTCTCCCTGGACGATGGGGACTTAAAGGTCTCAATGAGTAGCTTATCTTGCTACAATTCTCTGGTTCTGATCACTGAAGGAAGCTGGAGCTCCATACGTTCAATTGTCTGCATATCATGGCCTGAGATTCAGCCAGAAGTAATCACGGGCGAAATCGGGGATTTGTGGAATGCTGCGCATCTAGTGGTGATAATCTAGAAATGGCTTCGTTAGTTTCATTCAACCACAATGATTTCCAGAACTGCGTAAGCAGTTATTTAGCAAAGCAATTGCCCCTACAGTGTTTGCAGCAAAACAGCCTCCTTTCGTCAAGTATTGAGGATAATTTCAACGACGGGTTTGGATGAAGTTGTTCGGTTTTTCTCCGGGTCGTTTCCACCGAAAATACTTCAGCATAAGGCTACGCAACTACATCATTTCAAACTCCCAGAGGTGAATTACAGATGCACCTGATTTGGCTACATTTTCCGGCGGAAGTCATGTTCACACTGACCCGTCATATATGATGAGTTTATGAAGGTTTGGCCAAGTAATGACTGATCTTGTCCAGTCTACCTTGGACAGATTGCTAGCATCTCTTCTTATAAGCACTCAGTTCCAACGTTTATTAAAGGAACTCTTACCAGACAACCAGAATGTAGTAGACCCACACGATTTGTGGCTTCTTTATCTTTCAAAACCAAGAGAGAAATTGCAAGGAAAAAACAAAACGTCAGTCATTCGAACAATGCTTACCTTTGGAGAATTGAATATGCTGGTTGAAGGGATATGTGTTGAAGAAACTCCACACCCAAAAATGAAAAACTAAGGGCTTGTATGCACCCATTTTTGGACAGCAAACCAACACCAATTACCCAGGTCATGTACATCGCTCTCTCTCTCGCTTTCTCAACGTTACTCTTATATCCGCTCTTGGCGCTGTTCATCCTCAGCAGCGAAGAATTGACACGACCGTCTCCTCATCTCGTAGGTTCCTATCTATACTTTTCATTATTTCCTGGCTTGTGTATATTATTCTCATAATGTGCTCCTGCTTATCATTCGAAAAGGACTGGCAAAGTATTAAAAAACCATTGCTAACCAGCCATCCCTTCGATCACGTTATCACCCCTTCCCGAAAGGATCGAATCGTCAGGGGTGTACCACTTAATGTAACGGCTAATCCACTGGCGTACATCGTGCTATATCAACCACAAGCAAAAGTGACACGGCTTTCACTGTGGCCGGAACACTGCCCCTATAGTAATGTTTGGCCCCGTTATCAGTACCAAATATCTGTGTGTGGACAGTCGCGTTGGATAGAAGCGACATAATGCACTAGATTATTGCGTTTGTTTTTCTCTGAGACAGCACGGACTGAAGAAAGCTGGGATGTGGTGATTACCACGGACTGCTACATGGAATTGTTTAGTTACATTGCGTTCTTCAGTTAGCGCAGTGCAACTGTCTAACCAATCATAATTTCCAATCACAGTAGTACAGGACAGATTTGTAATGAATATTCCCGAAATGAAATTCGAATTTGGCGGTTCAAATAACAGTTTTGAAATGAAAAATATAGCAGACACCTGTGTGTGTTGAAAGATATATTCCCGGCGATTCAATTCTGCAGGTGCATCCCTGCTCTGTGGGAAATTGTTAATAGCCTTAAAACCATGGTCATGCATGGAGCAAATGTGGCTTAAAGCGACTGGAAAATTTCTGTTGAATACCGACGTCAGAGGTTTGACCAGCCTCCCCTACCCACTCAGGCTGAAGACCCTTAAAAGCTACAGTGGACGTTATCGGCGGCTAAGGGGCGATCTGATAATGGTGTACCTAATCCTGAGAGACCCCAACCACGCATGCCATTCCCTGCTAATACTCAGTCAAAACACCTCGCTAAGAGGTCACCAGTTTAGCTGGTCACGCAGTACAGCCGCCTGGAATGTCGGCGAAACTATTTTTCCCTTCGAATGGCACAGCCTTGGAACGCCCTCCCCGAACCCGTAATTAACGCATCCACCCTATCCCTTTTCAAAAAACGCCTTGACGATACCCTGTCACATTTACACTACGTGCTATAGCTCATGACCACCAGATGCTGGCACTAATGCACAACAGACAGGGGCTAGTGCCATAACCCTACTCGAGAGCGAGTCACTCCAAACGCCTTGCACGAAATTTGATAAACGCTGATACTATAGACACTGGATTTCTGTATCCTGTCGACTGACGATAATCGCACACAAGTAAGCGTTGTCCTTGCTATCGTTTTTTTTTAAATTTTTCTCGCCTATGATGCGAACAATAACCACTCTCCTGTTGCTTTGTGTGCGTATATTCCCGTTTCGAACCCTCTTTATACGAAAATGCAGTTACATCTGTAAGCGCCCGAACTGACAACCTTATCCCCCTCGCTATCTTTTTTGTCACGCTATCCACCCTACGGGACATGTCAAGCACCTGCTTTTTTACCCGTCATAAATCATTGTTCATTGTAAAGTATTAAAAAACCCTTGAAAACCTGAAAACAAGTGCAACAATTACGGTAATGATTTCTAAAGCACAAAAAATCAAGTTAACTCAACATTGGCTTTACCCACCCAAATGGGGCCGTTTTCAGGTTTCACAGTATTATCTGTGAATGTGTTAAACTTACAATATCACTAATCGAAAATTTTACAAATAGATGGAAAAATGTGGGTAGTAACCTCACATTCTTCGATGGAGTAGCGATGGCATAACGCTAAACTTAACCATTAGGATTTTCATCCAATTAAAATGGTAAAAACTTATTAAAACGTTTCTGAATAGCTGGTTTTCTTTGACGTAAACTTTGTGTCCAAGGACAATAAACCGGGGATCGCGCACAATATTTAAACGTTGTAAGGTAATTCCCTGAAATAAATACGTGTGGGAGCTAGAGAAAAGAACGCGAAAGGTAAACCAACGTACAAGAACGCTGTACCGGACTAATTACGCCGAACGAGCAGCACGAAAAAGACACGCAGTCACTGAACAGTCACCTGATTCTTAGTACCGGACGCGCGACGCAGAGAACGACCGGACTTCGGGCAAACAAGGTTATCAGGGAATCGCCAACATGATTAGTCATACAAACGGGTTTATAGAAGAGACGAATGCGCAGTAAAAACTAACCGAAGCAGAGGGATAAACGTTTAACAGTTTAGCCAATGTTCGGCACACCGAAGCAAACTAACATAAAATAAACAGGCATTAAACGCAGCATTTCAGTTAAACAATCCAGTTTGGTTTCTATTGCGTTACAGCGTTCTTATTCAGAATACAGATTGGATGGATTGGTTTTCTTGATCTTAGAAACTGCGTACCCAAAACATCTGTCGGCTAATTCTTGCAAAGATGTTATGTCTGCAGCACATAATGTAAATTAGCGCTCAGAAAAAAATGCATTGGCGGATTTAACGGTCCCAAAATTTAGAAATGGATTCTAACGCGCAAATAGCCAGTGCGTGACGAATACTAGAGGCTGATCGACGTGTGTTGCAAAACAAGTGGTAAAAGTTACAATAACAAAGGGTGAGTCACTCATCGATTCACATGAACCAGGGTCTGGTTCAGGTATTTCGTCTTAGAACCATCAAGACCTCGTTTCGCTTAATCATTTCCTGGTTCAAAGGTCCGCTGCACCATGTAGCTTGTGAACTTTGTTAACCACCTTAGAACCATTACCTCTAAAATCCTGCTACTTCTGAGAAATATCAACTACATAACCTCTCATAGTTTTAAATGCTATGGATATAGCGTCTAGCAAGAGGATGTCATCACTTCGCGCACTAGCCACTGTCAGTGACAATGGAAGATAAGTGGTGCTATGTCCCAGTTAGATTGCAAATTAAGTTGCTCAGCCAACGTCTTCCAAAGTACAGTGACTTAAGCTGCTGGCTAGTTGGCATAAACATCTAGCGGTCATGGGTTCGATCCCCAGTAGAGGACCTAGGAAATGCACACCACTGAGGAGCCCCAATAGGGCGAAACATGTCTGTTGTTTTTCCGGACTAGGCTGGGGTTTGTAGTTTGTGGACTGCCAAGATAAATACCTTGAAGGGAACTTATTACTTTAGCTGAATGACCTAACAGTAGTGCTGAGTGTAAATGCATTATTCAGCTAAACCACATAAATCGACATTTCGACATTTTGCACCCATGGTCCAAGTGTGTAGTCAAACAATTTTTCTGTTGAACCTTAGGAATCGAACACAGCAAATTTGAAAATTCTTCTCTTTGTCGAGATCTAAGACAGCTATCTGCGATAGTTTTATTACACCACAATAACGGCAAGATATAGCCACTCCGTATCCGGTTCTGACTGTGATTGGCAGAATAAACAGATGGTCGACACAGCCAGACAGACGCCATATTTGGTTCGTTCCAGCGTTGTGTCAGTTCAGAACGAAGGTCCGTATCCAATTAGACAAGCCCCGTATATTCCAGGTAACGCGATTTCCATATAAATATGTTTCGTGGTAACATCCAATGGTTTTCTGTACACAACCAAACAATGCTCAACATCCAAGCTATAGTCTTGCTCTGTGAGTTCAACAACGTTGCGTTAGCGTAGCCCGATCCAGTTTAATAAATTGTGCAAAACTATTTAATATAATAAGGAGTAGGTGAACCAACTCTCAAATTATTTTTCTCTTAATACTCTTACACTCTCGGTGAGTACAGACTAACTGATTGAAATTTCCATAGACTATACTTGGCTGCTGTACAAAATAATGAACCTATTTGACTTTACCTTTTAAAATCACAATACACCGCTATAGAGATTTACTTTATTTACACCTTATTTTTCTAAAAATCCAAGTTCCTAGTTGCACCTTCAAGGAAAGTTTAAGCATCAGGTGCCAATTAGCTTAACTCACCGAAAGCATAATTTCGTGACATATATAATCACAAAGATAACATGCTCAGCTGCAGTGTAGTTTGTGCAATAGCTTGATGAAATGGTTGTGAAGCTGGGCGCGTTCGAAGTAATGTTAAGTGAACCGAAGCAACTCACTAACTGGATTCTTTTTTGTACATCTTCAATCACTGACAAAACGCAAGTCCAATTACTGTTAGTTAAACAATATATTTGTTCGCCGTATACCAGACAAGTTTTTTCCCCTACCTAGATATTTGTGCCCTGAACGTTCAAGGACTCTTTAGAAACGGTGAGTATATCAACAGTGTTTCAGGCATCTTGTATTTTCGATTCTGCATATTCTGTATGACGGTAGCTAAAGGAGAATAACCTGTGATTCGGATAACTATATTATAAGAACACTGCAATTCTACTCACACTTCATTGGCTGCTTACATGTTCCGTGGTTTATGAACAACATACGTGAAATGTATATTTACACTCGTAATATTATTATTGCGAATCATTGTTTCATACCGGCAGATGGAAGTTTATATTACCTACAACTTACAGATGCATAAAACGGTCATCCATCGCTTTCCCGGTTGTGATGGTAGTCTAACGGTTCAGACGGATTCAACTTATGAAGGCAAACAGCTTGTCTTCAGTGGCGCCGCAATCACATGTTGACACAAGCCCACGCTCGGAAACACCGGAAATTCTTACGTTTCATTGACTGCGTCAAATTTATTAGCAGTATTTATGGTAAAATTGCTATTATTTAATGTTCAGCAGACAATACCTACCAGCTTTCGGTATGTTGCAACATGTTCACGATATTTCCAATACCAAATATCCACCTAAAGTTGCGTAACGAAAAACATACCAGTTACTTTCGCTTTAGTGCCACATCAACTGTGCCCACATACAGGCATTTCAACATATTGACGTCCCTTTGCTATAAAAATACAAACGGTAGGTTGAGTTTGCATGACGACAATGCCTATTTAGAGTAATCGTCAACCTGTTAATAATTAAAAATATTTGCAGTTCAGCTATATTCGTTAAACCAGGCAAAAGCAATACCCAGACACACCATAATTACGCCTCACTGTCAAGTGGCTTTAACCGATCGCTCCTCGGCTGGGTAAAGCGTAAGGTCTGTCTCACCTACGCGAATTCGAACCGGTGACCTCAGAATTACGAGCAGTCATGTAATGTTTTCGACCACTGGTCGACTCGGTAATTCAAAGAACAGCGTTTGCAATCTGTCACTGGAGTTAAGGGAGCAAGCAAATGTAAGAGAAATTCGCTAGCCATGCAACTAACAATATGTCCGATATGCCCGCTGTGCGGCTTTTCAGTACACTTCCCTAGAACACAAGCAAAATAACGTTATGTAACAGTGATAGTTTGATAACATGTATGCGTTGCAATGGTTAATATAATTTGGGAAACCAAATATTGTAATGATCAATAATAGTCAATGGACTGCTTTGCTTATGGCACTACATCTAGAGGGAGGACGTCTTCAGGTTTCCTGACAAATTTGCTTTGCCGAAAGACCACGCTATCCGATCTGTTGCATTTTTGTATCGACCCAAACAAAGTCATCAGTGGAACACAATATCGTTGATGAAACTGGTACTTACATGCGTTTAGCATTTTTGTTTGTACCTTACTGTTTATTTCCTCAAATCCTCTATTACTTCTATACTGCCAGTATTTCTGTCGCAAAGGTATCAACTAGATCATGCGAAATTTGCGTTGTCTTGATTAAGATTCAATATATTTATTCGGAAAGTGGTTGAGATTAACACCAGCAGAAATAAACATGTTCCAGCATTGTCTCCCTTGAACAGAATTGAACTTCACTGGATACCTCATTAAAGCTGGTGAAAAAATGAATTGGTCCGATAGTTTAACATGGAATAATTATCAAGAAGCAGCAGAAATCGTAACCCATATTTGCAAGCGAGTAAGTTCAACTGAGAAACAAATTTTTAGTCAATCTTTGCGACCATTTCAGCTAGTGACGACACAGTTCATTGTATGCGCTCACCTGATCCTAACATTTAAAATGAGTATAATCGCACATATGTCCTCTTTTAAGCAAGTAGTATGGAAACGCGGATGCCGATCGTGAATGAATGGGCTCACAGTGAAATGATTGATAGATGCTCAAGGGTTCCATCTCCTTTCTGTTTACCTACATTTTCATCATGTCTCATACGCTCTCGTATATACCATTTCAGCTAACCTTATTGGTGGAAGCAGCTGCAAATAGACCACTCAGCAACATGGACTGCAAGCTTATTCGCCTACATGGTGATCCTATCGGAAACTACGTCAATCTTACATTTGAGGGAAATGATGAAAATGATGCGAAGCAGATCATCGAAGGAGTGATCAGTAAATTGGCCGAATACCCAAAGCTAGACGAAAGTAGCCGTCAACAAGCAACAAACGAATTCCGAAAGCGAGTAGGTAAGCCACAACTTGCACCAAGCCTCTAATCTATTTGGGCTGCATGTGAAAATGTCATGTACTGTTTAGGTTTGACCAAAAACCAAAAGCTTTTTAAGTATAAATGAGGGAATGCATACTTGTTGTTGTGCGGTGTCGAGTCTATGCGTCCCATCAGTTCATTGGATCGTATTTTTACATGTGCAAAATTTAATAACATATTGCATTACCTAAGTTTACACCAATTTGCCTCACAGCACTGTGCCTGTAAACTAATCTGTTCTTCTTATTTACAGTAGTGGTGAACGAAACTGGATACACAGGTAGTTGATAATTAATGTACTTTCTGTGTATCTACTCATCCATATTTGTCGCAAAAGTTCAGCATTCACAGAGCTTCTGAAGCTTTTCCACCGTGTTGTCGTCTCCACTGATTGGAGGCACCGTTGCTGGTTGTATTACGCTATTCCGTTTAGGATATGGCATTGGGGCCAGGTAAATTAGCTATTTGTCCGGATTCCACCGCTACAGTAGCAAATAATCTGCCATTAATAAAATGTGTGAACAATCGTATTTTCCTCATTGGTGGGATGCAGGAACCTGCGATCTTCTGCAAGGGCGCAGGTTCCGCACTGTAATATCCGTACAATACGCAACTCGTAACGCACACGTGATAGACATAGCCAAACGTATGCTAGAAGCTAGGATTCAGTACAGAACTTGCGACCGCGGGGCAAACTACTGTCACGTCGGGAGCTGTTCGATTGGAACATTCACTGCTTCCGAGTAACCATGTTCGCAACAACACAATTCTGCTATAAACAGCAAGTTGTAGATCCTATCACCTCTAAATACAGGCTTGATCGACTTAATCTTCAAATACGGTGTATTCTTTTCATTGTTTATGTACCACAGTTGTTCGATTTGGAGTGACGTTTCAGAAGATTAATGGTTTCAGTTATTGGCGGAGTGCTTTCAGCAGTGCCGGTCAGCTCACACAGACTGCCAGCGTTGTTTGCATGCGAGTAAGTAATTATCGAAAGCTTTTGGGCACGAGATTGATCTGGGTGCGTCGTTGTTCAGAACAGACTGTCCTTTGTTTTTATTTCGTCGGTTCTTGTTTCGCAATGGGTTAGGATCTATCAGCTGAGTGTCAGGATACTTACTAGAACTATACAAAACCACATGTTTTATGAATAATCCATTCGTACTCTTAAGTATAAGGATGTATGAACTAAAAAATCGAAATTTTGGGAATCTCCCAGCACCATTCTACTGTTTCCATAGCATGTCTTGCTCTGTTGCCTTGTCGAAAGCAACTCACTTTCAATGCACATTTCTCTACCTATTGGAAGAGAATTTTTGGACTCTAAGTGAAACACAATTGTCCCACATGATAGTACACGGCAAACTAGTAAAGGCCAAACCCTTACAAATAAAGTTGGCACTTTACGAGTCTAGCATTTTGCCATCTGTCTAATTTATCACACAACAATATCAGTCCTAATGCGAACATTAATTGCATAAAGAAATGGTCATTTTGATCACCGGTGTCGCGGTATCTTGAAGTATGCGTTGTACACACTTTTATGTGCGAAACATGATTGACAGCCTCCGGTGTCGGATTTACCTATCAGTGTTGCCTCGATAGAATAGCCACAGGATGCTTGCTCCTCAGGGGACCATGCGCAGCTTGCGCTGCAACACCCACATCTCCAACCACACACCCATATCCAGTGTAAGCCAGAAGGAACAAGACAAGGAGGCATGTGGATGGGAGCCAAGTTTTATTAATGGAGCCGGCCCACGCTCCTCCACAGACAAACATAAGCACGCTAAATTTAGAGAATCAAGCGCACACAAGGCGAAGGTTAGGCCGTACCCCGCTTCACATGCAAACCATGTGGCTAGAACCACTCATTGCGCCTCACTCGGTCACAAGGACCATTCACGCCGACCTCTCCAACAAACGACCAACTGCCTCCTGGGGCCAGTATGGACGAGGTGGTTGGTGCTAGACTGGCAGGCCCCTTTCTCAACTTTCGAAACAAGCGCAGCTACAGTGAGGATATCAAACAGCTAACATAGGTGTTGAAGGCGAAGAAATACGCAAGATTGTCACGGAATATGCAATACAATGACAGAACTGAGCAAATCAAATAAAGTGCAATACTTTCGGTGTAGCACAGCTACGGTGAAGAAGCATGATGAGCGCAACCTCAAGTTCAGCATGTGGCATTTGTGCTAAACATACGATTTGTTAAACAAACCGATTGTGTTGTAAACCTTCCAAAACTATTAATTTCCAATCGATTCCAAGCTTTTTTAAAGATAGTAATTCTGTACTTCTTTATTCCACTTAAGTCTGCCATTTAACGGATCAAATTTGAGTAGTCCATCCATTCCATAGTTATCTTGCGTCACTAGCTCTTATCTTGTTTAACTCGATCAGATGTTGTGTACGAATTGTCCGAAGTGGCGCCAATTTGGTATTGTAGCAGGTGCTGACCAACATGCGTCCCAGATAGGACATGAGTTCCGGGATGATCACCTGTTGTTAATAGACTCATTGTATCAGAGACTCAGCAAGATAACTTGCATGAGCCAGTCAGTGAGTATACATCCTACTGCGTCGGCAACGCCGCCTCACACCACTTGCACATGGGGTTAGAAATGCAATATCCGATCGCCTCCATGACCAGCTGGTGAGTGAACCAACAGACATCAGGGCGCTACTGATGACTGTTCGCCTACGATTCGAAAGAGGTATGTTAGCGAGTTTTAAAAGCATGTACGGTCCCAGCATATGTTATCCTGCTGACGCGCATGATGACTTCCACACTCAGCTATCCTCCGTGCTACGGTCTGTGCCGAGGAGCGGTAGACTAATTCTGCTGGGTTATTGCAACGCGCGCGTTGGACGTGATGCATCGGTGTGGATAGATGTTATCGGTTCACATGGCGTTGGTTCAGCGAATGCAAACTGTGACAGGCGGCTGTCAGTGTGTGCTACTCACGGCCTGGCGATCACGAACACTCGGTTTTTACTGAGTGTACCTCATATAGCAAGTGGGAAGCACCCACGGACTGGACTTACTCACCTGCTCGAGTAGGTCATCGTTTGTCATCGTGATATGCGTGAGTTGCGCATGACACATACTGCGTATAGCTGAGTGTGGTGCTGATCACAAAATGGTGCTAATCAAACTGTCTCTATATTTTCGTAAATCTATGTTGTGCACTCCCGCCGTGAATCGGCGTAAATGTAACATTCTCTTCCTCGATACTGTGGCGAAACGTATTGAGCTGGAGAAGGCGATGTCTGCGCGACTGTGTGATGTGGATTGCATAGCCACAGTGGGCGACCTGTGGCACCACATTTCCGACCGGGTGACAGCTGCTGCCGAGGAGACCATCGGGCGCGCAAACTGTAAGCTGCCTGATTAATTTGATGACAACAATGCGACGGTTGGCGCATTGGTGTCTGAGAAGAATGCAGCATTGGCTGAACATGTGGCGGACCCCAGTGACTTGGCGACGAGTAATCGGTTTCGCAAACTTAGACGGCGACTGACCCGAGAGCTCCGTCGCATTAAAAATGCATGGTCTACGGAGAAGGCGAAGCAGATGGAATGCTACGCCGGACACCTCCAACATAAGGAATTCTTTGACTCCAAGAATGCTGTGTATGGACCGAGATTGGAGCCGCTGAGCAATCTGATCAATGGTAGTTCAGGTGCCACCTGCCCACAGACTGCAGACATAGTGCAGATTTGGTAAAAGCACTTTGACTGTCTCTTGAACAACCGTTCAGGGTTTGACTGACCTTCTTTGAACGGCATGAAGCAGCACCATGTGAAGGCGAGCCTGGCGGACACGTCGACACTGGTGGAGGAACACAGAGCACTTGATCAGCTGCGAAACGGCAAGTTTGCCTGTGCCGACGGGATCCCGCCTGAAATACGGAAACAAGGCGGACCCGCGTTGGTGACTGCGCTGCACCACTTGGTGCAACGCGTGTGGATTGAGCAGCAGGTGCCTCCTTAGCTGAAAGATGCCATTGTACTACCATTGTACAAGGGCAAAGGGAGCAAGCCCTGTTTCACGAATGCTCGTGGCATCACTATCGCAATGAGGCTGGACCTTACCGTGGTGCGATGGTTTGTGTGCCTCAGCGATCCATTGAGCTACGCTGGGTGGTGCTTTTGCACCTTCAGAGTCACTCATACCAGATTGGTCAATGGTTAGAGGCCAGACAAACTCAGCCTCCTGGTCCTCCAGGTTGGGGGTTGGAATGAGGGTGGCACCTTATTCCTTAAAATGGACTCCTTGTAGCCCAACGCCAAACCCGCTGCCTTGCGGTCAGGTTTTTGAACCAAAGGCTTTGGTTGAGAACCCTAATCGTTCTCCTGTCTAGACCTGGGCAACCTGACAGTATCCTGCCCACGCAATACTATGAATTTTCCTTCAAACAATTTCTTGATGCTCTGGCCACCGCAGAGGATAATAAACGGTGCCCTATCTGCTGCATCGAGCATGGTGGATAGGGGTTTGGATGCTACTGCTCAAGCCTTCCCATCTTCTTATTCCCCCTCTTACGCTTTTTCACTCTTACCGTCCCATTCCAACTTCACTTATATCTCCCCAGTTTTCAACCCCCCGATTCTTGGCCCTCCCCCAACATGCTTTGCTAGGCATTTACCTTCTAATTTCAATTCACACGTGAACGCGGAGCGTCACTCCTCTCCTGGCGACAAGCCCATGTCCAACCAAGCGGTCCAATCCAGTTCATCGGCTTCCATTTGGAGCCCTCGATCCTCCTTCAGATTGGCATGCCTCAATGTACGCACACTGCTACAAATCGGTCAACAGGCAGCACTTGCCCGAACATTGGAGACCCTCTCGATCGATATCTGCTGCTTATCAGAGACTCGCCTGCAAGACTCGAGCACTGTGCTCACTCTGCGAGCCCCTTCAGGGGACGCAAGCAGTATTTTCTCCTTGCGCCTATCCGGTGACGATGCAGCTTCGAGCACCGGCCAAGCCGGTGTTGGTATTGCCCTGAGTCCCCGGGCTGAAGCTGCTCTGGTTGATTGGATTCCAATCAGTAGCCGGATATGTGCGGTCCGATTGGCTGGCTCGTTTAAAGCTTCGAAGTCGCGCGGGACTAATAGATATCTATTCATCATCGCTGCCTATGCGCCCACAAACTGTAGCGATGATTCGGTAAAGAACGACTTCTACCGCCAACTGACCCAGCTCCTTCGCCCCAGAAGAAGCACCGACACTGTTGTGCTGGCGGGGGATATGAACGCACAAGTTGGAAAGTTGTCCACTGATGAACTGCATCTGGGCGGTCAACACGGTGTAGGCTCCCGTAATGATAACGGTGAGCGGTTACATCATTTGTGTGAAGATGCTCGCTTATTTCTTGCGAGCACTAATTTCCGACACAGCACCCGCCGAAGGGTGACTTGGCGCCCACCAACCTCGAACCAGCCTTGCACGCAGATCGATCACATTGCGATAAGTTACCGCTGGAGAGGCTGCATCCAGAATTGTCGCTCGATTTGGAGCACATGTGTGGACACCGATCATGCACTTGTATGTGCTGACCTGCGGATGCGTTTTGGCGGACGCCCACGACGACGCTGTGAGCGTATTGACACCAGCCAACTGACAAAACCAGCTGTTCTGAATGCGTATCGAAGTACGCTAACATGCGAGTTGAGCAAGCGCTCACTGGAGACAATTGATGGTCACTGGTCACATGTTCGCCAGACCTTACTAGCAGCAGGCAAATCCTCATGTGGTATGTCTAATAGGCAACATGGACATTGGGTCTCTTCGCAGTCTTTGGAACTTATAGATGCTCGCCGGCAAATCCCGGCTGGAAGCGAGCACAATGAAACTCGCAAAGAGCTCCGGGCAAAACTCCGTGCTAGCCTGAAGAGAGACCGCGAATCTTGGTGGTCTCATCGTGCGTCAGAGATAGAAGTGGCCGCTGCCCTTGGCAACCATCGTA